AATGACCCAGTCGAAGGTATTCTGTCATAGCAACACTAAATGGACTGGAAACTCTCGTGCAAGGATTATATATTCACCTGTCTGGCTGGCCGGGTAAAATGTTAGACAAGAAAAGCTCTTCCGGAGTGACTAAAGCTCGCAAGCAGGAGTCAAAGCCTGCCAGGGAATGGACAGAGCTTGGGGTGCTGGGCATGGTGCAGGCAGCATTTCAGGGCAAAGGATCAGCACCGTTTTCATTCCTACAGCTGTTTCTTCATCAGTAAACACTGTTAGGTGTCTTGGGTTACAGAAAGCGTTAAAGAATCAATATACCATTTCTGCTTCTGAATTTTTAAAGCTTCGCATCCTAAAACCCAAGTCTAGGGTTTTGACATGAAAATGTGTCTGTCGCCTACTCAGAGAAGCTTTCTGGGTCTGTCAGCCAAATCCAGATAAAATCTTAGCAAATACAAGACAAGTTCACTGTTTTGGAGAGATCATTTTAGGATGAATCTATAAAAAATAGCACATGGAGAAATCAGTGAGAAATCTGTATAGGAAACAGCCATGTTTCCCAATAAACATGCAGGGTTTTTTGTTTTTGTTTTTCTTCAGACCAGCGGACATGAGAAGTGAGGGGCTAGGCTCTCACAGCACATTTGCTCATGGGTCATGCCCCATAATGGTATATATATATATAACTTTTCTGTCTCTTCAGTAAGTTCATCTTGTTAGCATTTCCATTTCCCTCTACCCGCCCAGTTGGCTTTGGCTTCTTTTTCACAACCTGCGATATTTTCTGGGGCTGAGGGTGAAGGGGTGGAGGTGGTAGGGTGGGTGGGTAGTGTCATTTTCTATTCTTTTTTTTTTTTTTTTTTTGAGTCGGAGTCTCACTCTGTCGCTCAGACTGGAGTGCAGTGGCTGCTCCCGGCCACCGCAGCCTCGACCTGCTGGGCTCTGGCGATCTTTCCGCCTCAGCCTTCTGAGTAGCCAGAATTACAGGCACGCGCTACCACGCCCGGCTGATTTTTTGATTTATTGTAGAGATGAGGTCTCGCTGCCCAGGCGGGTCTCGAACACACAGGCTCAAGCAATCCACTCACCTCAGCCTCCCAAAGGCGCGGGATTACAGGCTGAGCCACCGAGCCCGACTCATTTTCTATTCTTTAGCAGTCTTTTCTGTGAATTTCAAACCATCCAGACCACATCACTTCATTATCAGAGAGCAGACGAGACCCTGGGCTCTGTACGCCAGCAGGAGCCCCAGTGGCAGACAGATGAGTGCCAGGGCCCAGATGCCTTCTGATAGGTCACATCACCCCACCTCTTAGAGTTCTTTTAGAGAGGAGGCTCCTTCTGCCTCGCTGGCATGCCCGGCCTTGCTTTTCCCACCTGTCAGTCTGCCTGAGGCTGAGATAGAGGTTAGAGGTGCTTGTTTAAGTAGGAATCCAGGGCGATGTCACCTGCTGTGCTGTGACCGTCTATGTGCAGAGGAGGTTTTATGGATCTGGGGGTGGAAATTGGAACTCATCACAGGGCAAAGCGTGTGGCGGCATTTTGATTTAATTGTACTGATGGCAAGTTTACTATTTGACATCCATGCTCCAGCCCACTCGGCACTTCCTTTCTGCCAACAGCATGGGCTCAGGAGAGATCGTCGCGTTCAGATTCCATGGGCTGTTAGTACTGTTTTTATTATTTTTACTTCCATGACCTCCGACAAAAAGAAAATTCACGAACCACTTGTTATCGTCAAGGCACCCTCACCCAACCCCATTCACCTTGAGCCACCTCTGCGGTCCCTCCTCCTCCCTCACTTCACTCTCCAGCATGGCCAAGTGGAAATCAGCGCCGGGTCTCTGCCACCACTAGTTTGAGGAGCCCTGGGTTCCAGCCTCCTCCATCCTTGTTCAAACCGAGGTGAGAGGACGACAGGAGGGCAGGATGTGGGCCCCGTCTCCTGGATCTCGGCTGGGGTGGCTGTCAGGAGGCCTGACTTCCTGGACTCCAGCAGCGGAGGGTGCCACGTCACCCTAAAGTCTCTTCCCTCAAGGCTTAAGATGACCTGCAGTCCTGAAGAGGGAGTTCCCAGAGGGAGAGAGCCGTGCTCAGAAAGGCGGCCCTGTGTCCCAGGCCTATCCACTGCTCCTCCCTCCAGTCAGCACCATGAGGGCGACTGGGCAGAGGAAGGGCCGGCCCGCCTGTCAAGGGCCCCTGGTGCCGGTGTGGGCCTCGCACCCTGCTGCCTGCCTTCCTCAGTGAGCCAGGGTTAGCACTTGAGTGGGTGATCCCTGTGTTCTAGGACGGAGTGCAGGAAAGTAATGTACACGGACGAGGGCTTCCCTCCTGGAGAGGCCGGAGACTTTCTCACTCACTCCTCCTATCCTTCTGCCCTGGTAACCAGCAAGCAAAACCCACACATTTCTAAGTGTCCCCTCTGCCTAGAGCGCATCGTGGACAGACATCTGCCTCTCTATGGGGTCCAGAGTGTCCTAAGGATGGTTCTAGCATGAGGTGGGTGGAGCCTTAACGATGGGGATGGGCAACAAGTGCTGTGAAACTTAAGAGTTAGGCCTAAAAGTGGAGCCTTGCATCTGAGCACAATGATTTAGCATGGTATACCTGAAATACGCAGAACTAAGTATTTGTTTTATCTAAGTATAACCAGTTTGTATACACTAAAAATTGATACTGGCCAGGCGTGGCACTTTGGGAGGTCGAGGTGAGAGGATTGCCTGAGGCCACAGGTTCAAAAACAGCCTGGGCAACTTGGCGAGACCTCATCTCTACAATAAAATTAAAAAATGAGCTGGGTGTGGTAGCGAGAGCCTGTAGTTCCGGCTACTTGGAAGACTGAAGCAGAGGGATCACCGGAGCCCAGCACTCAACGCTGGGGTGGCTGTGAGCATGCCACCGCACTCCAGTCTGGGCGACAGAGTGAGACTCCAAATCAAAAAAAAAATTGATACTTATCAGACAAATCAATTAATATAAGTATACTCACATTCTATCATTGTCAGAATGTACCCACTCCAATTCCATTAATCATATTTGCGTGAAGAAAAATTACATTTCTGGGCTGCTGTGTTTGTATATAAAAGTTACCTTAGCTAATTGAAGCATAGTACAAAATAAGAATGCTTGATTCATTTAAAATCTAAAAGATTCTGAGCTAGAGTTTGTGTGCCTGTGTTTCCCAATGCCTCGCAGCCTAGGTTTACCCGTTACTGTGTGGTACCTTCCGAGAGTCAGGTCTCCTGTGAGTCTGCAGATGGGGAGCCTCTGACTTCCAGACTGTTTCCCGTTTAGGTTTGCAGCTGGACTCTGGACCCCCCAGTCCTCATTTGTGATGGAAGGGAGTCAAGCGAAGTTATCAACAAGGTTCCTGCAAGCATGAATCTTTCCATTGACTAACCCATTGTAGAGCACAACGAAATAATGGTTCTTTTGTAGTTCTCTTGCGACTCTGTTACTGGTACTCATGCTGGACAGATGCAGGCATCACGGGATCAGCCAGGAGGTGTGACTGAACGGTGGCCCCGTGTGAGGTCGTGCTATTCCGTGCTTAGAGGGTCCTAGAGAGCTCTTGCTTGGAGGAGAAACAAGCTTGGAAAATGTTCATGAGTACTTGGGGATAGAAAGTACAAAATGAATGTATCCTTTAAGTGTGTAAGTACTTCGGGCACTTTGACTCTGCATACTGGCGGTGCAAACCAGTCAGGAAGGGCGGAATCCCTGGCCTCGCTCTGCGAAGGGTGGGTTTGGAGTTCGGCGCGGGTTTGGCTGCTCAGCCTGGCCGAGCGCCCAGCAGCGGCCAGAGCCCGCGGGAGCCCGCACCCGTCTGCGGAGGCCGCCCCGCGGGAGCAGAGCCGCCTCCCCCGGGTGCGGAGTCGCCCTCCCCCGTGCAGGGCCGAGCA